CCGCCATCGCCGCCGCCGCCGCCGAACCCGCCAGATCCGCCACCTCCGTGCACCGAAACGGGTACGGGTACTTTGACCGGGTAGGGCACGGGTTTGGCTACCGGTACGGGCACATGTTTAGCTACCGTCACGGGTACCGGTCGTTCCACTGGTACCTTGACCGCGTAGGGCACTGGTTGATCGACTGGAACGGGTACGTGCTTCTCCACCGGATACGGGGCAGGTACCGGTACCTTGACTTCAACGGGTACTGGCTTCTCTACTGGTACTCCGACCGGTCTCTCCACGTGGACCTTCACTGGATAGGGCACCGGTTTCTCTACCGGCACAGGTACCGGCTTCTCCACTGGAACCGGGTATGGCTTTGGTACGTGGACCGGGTACGGTCTCTCGATGGGAACATTCACCGGGTAAGGGACCGGCTTCTCCACCGGGAAAGGCTGGGGTACGTGCTCCACGACCTTCACTGCGTAAGGTACCGGCTTCTCGATCGGGTACGGCTGTGGCACGGGTACCTTCACTGGGTAGGGGACGTTCTTCTCCACCGGGTACGGCTGTGGCACGTAGACTTTGTAGGGTACTGGTCTCTCCACTGGAACTTGTACTGGATACGGGATCTTCTTCTCTACCGGATAAGGCTGTGGTATGTGCACGGGTACTTTGACCAGCACCTTCACGGGTACGGGTATCTTCTTTTCCACCGGGTACGGCTGCGGCACCGCAACCTTGACTGGATAGGGCACTTCTTTCTCCACTGGGTAGTGGACCTTCTTCTCAACCGGGTACGGAACCTTCACGCTCTTCACGATAGTGATCTCTTTAACTTTGCTGCCCTCTTCGTACCCACCGCCGCCTCCACCACCGTAGCCACCGCCGCCTCCACCACCGTAGCCACCGCCGCCTCCGCCTCCGTATCCACCGCCGCCGTACCCTCCGCCACCATCGGATGACCCGTATTCTTCTCCTCCGCCGTAATCGCCGCCTTCGTAGCCACCTTCCAACCCGCTGAGACCGCGTTTCTCTTGTTTCTTCTCGACGTTAGACTCCGTAGCCTCCGCGGTTTTCGTGCTCTCCTTCTCGCAGTGCCCTGCGGCCAACAGGCCCAGGAATAAAATTGGAATCTGGAAACATAGGGAATGAGGTTCGCTTGGTTCTTCTTCGAAAACGAAAGTTGGGATTCTTGAAACGCGAAACTCGAACGGTGGATGTTGAGCGAGAGTGTTGTCGGTCGTAGAGGATCGGAGTCCGTACTCACCAAAATTCTCATGTCTTAGAGGCGCTCCGATATCTGGTCGTAGTCCAGACTTTACTGGATACTTCCCCCCAAGATGCCACCGATTTTATAGTCCGCTTTCCCCCGGCCGTGCATCGCGAGCGAGCGAGTAGAAGCCTGCCCCCCTGTATGCGGTACGTTCACGGAAAAGTGAAACACGCGGCGGCGGCGGCGTCCGGCGCACGAGCGGCCGCGCGACGTTGTTGCATTTTTCTAAATCCCCGATTGCCGCGACGCTGGTTCCATAACCGGGCCCACTGGCGTAGACGACGCCCGGATCCTCTTCCAGGGTGAAAGGAACCTGGCGGAAGCCATACGAGCGTTCACGCGTCGAATTGCGGCTCGCTCGATACCGCCTGCGGAATAGTTAAATTGATCGTTAATAGCACCCCAACGTCGGGGCAGATGAAGAGTTGACGTGGATAAAGATATATTTGTTACGTATCTGAACGCTGTTCAGACACGAGGAACAATCCAGACGTCGGATCTGGTTTGTTATGTGGTTTAGACAGCTTACGCAACTTTTGCTTGTGGTTTTTACTTTGTTATTGGGTTGTTCTGTTGAGAGGCTTGATTTCTCTGGGGAAAGGGATATTGGAGATAAATGTAGAAACTGAAAGATGCTAGAGAACAATGTGTGTTGTTTTTTTTATGCTACTTTGGAAAGAAGAGTTTTTAGTTAACCCAATACTTTGGATTTATTGTAATAAATATAGAATTATATAGGGTTTTTGTAACAAAAATCGTATTAATATTGTAAATTCTGATATTAAGATGCAACTTGAATTGATTTGTAGAGACAAGTTTGAACATTTGTTTCCGCCATTGAGTCACGTGACCTCCGGTCACAGCTCAGTAATCCAAGATGGCTGTGAGTGTGAAGAAGGGTGTTCTGTGCTCTTCAATCAAGCACAAAATAGCATGTTATTGTTATGTGGTAGAAGTTTTAAGTTTGTTTGGGATATTCATACAACATATTGGAAACAACTGCACATTTTCGTAAAGAGGGAAGTCTCAGAATAGCTGTGTATTTGACAAAAGAGTGGAACCTCTAGGGTACATCAGTACAGCACAAAGCACGAACAAGGATACTGTTATAATAAGAATGAACATATTGAACATCTGTAAATTATTGTAAAAGAATTTCAACGGTGTCTCTGCGAATTAATTCGAGGTACGTGTCAATATTTACCTCTTTTTATAAAATATTAAAAGTATTTGCATTTCTTAACAATCCTGTAACATTTAGGTTAACATATTGCAATGTGATTTTATATTATGTTTCTAATTTATGTTTAAATTTAACAAATGTATAGATGGTTAGGAAAAAGAAAATTAATTCTTGATAGGTTATGGAAGCTAAACAACAATAAGATTTATGTACATAGGGAACCAAATTAATTAAGAATCAGCCATATAAAGTGGCCAGCATGTATAAATAGGGAAAATCATTGCACAGAATTCAGTTTGATCTGTATCAACGTAGAAAGTTCGAAAACACTTGTGTTCCTGGAAAATGAGGTTATGCACACAGTGAGTAATATCATCATTGCAGATATTATAAGATTAGTGACTGTTCGCTGAATTATTACCTAGCGAACGTTCATGTGTTGCAAATTTTAATGTAACAATTATACATTTGTTATTTTCTCACAATCTAGGATACATAATTCCAAGACAACAGCTATTCTTATCTTTCCTGCTCACTCATACAGTAATCACATTTAAAAAGTATAATTCATAAAATATTTAATGTCCCTGCTTTTTCAATTACAAAGAAAACACTATCAAACAGGTTATTCAAACAAAAAGTACAAAAATTCTGTTGAAACATAAGGATATATATTTTTATATAAATATCTGTAGGTTTTATTACTACCCAAATTAAGCTTCCTTATTCCCCAAAGAATCAATCCAACAATCTATAAAGTTAAACTCAAAGTGAAAACCCGAAAGATCACAAATTCTACGCCAGTGGCTCCGCAAATTCACATTCGCCCCTCTACCCTCCGTATTTGGGATCCTCTCCTCTCTCCGTGTGTTGTCTGTCTCCTTCCACATTTCCAAGTTTCTCGTCAGGACTACCGGCCCCCTCCGTATCCGGTCCCCACGGAAGGACACGCGCACGTGACCACGGAGTTTCTCAGTCCCGGGTCCTCTCGTCCGCGACCGAGTCCTTTAGTCGAACGGAGAGAACGAGAGGAAGGAAGAAGTGCTTTGGTGGGACGGTGGAAGAAAATGAAAACCGGTGAAAGAGGGAGAGTGTCCCTCGGGTGGGGGGATAGATGCTTGGATATACGATCTGCCGTGTCAGATGAAACTGCACTCGAGATCGATCGCGTAGATCCACGGCAACGCGTCGATGAACGTTAATTGCACGGTAGGGTTGAGCCTCGTTTTCACTATAACTGTACAACCGACCCGTTGCACCGTTCATGTTACTAAGAAATTACGAATCAGGAGCTAGAGCATATTAGTTGTTATTCGCCGATCTGTGTGCTCGTTAATACATGCAATTAATATGAAAGTTGTAGGTCAGAACCTCAGCTGCTAATTAAATGGAAATTAGACGGTGTAATTCGTTCGATCAGTTCGGAAATTTGGGTGACGTCAGGAGATTAACGAGGGGGATTAGATAACAGCGGAAGTAGTAAGAGTATAGGTAATTGATATCGTAATATCCTAATGAATAATATTTATTACGAAGCAATCGAAGTCTTTTTCGGTCGTTAAAAGGTTCGATTTCCTTATAATTCACTGGTGGAACGACCACTTTCCGCTAAAGTCTTTGCGCCGGTAGCTTTTTATTCGTACAGGGAATGCAACGCGTACGTCGAAGATTCGAGAACTGGCTCAACCAGATGATTTTTCGATCGTTAACACCTGCTGGAATAATTACGGAGGAATTCCATGACTCACTCGGTGCCGTAATCAATCTAATTATGCATATCACAGCAGCGCGGGAGTGTTATGTTAATTTTTCCAAGGTGATCCTACGTTCATCGTCGCATATATGGAGACGTAGCTTCAAACGGAAACCTCTTACTGTTCCTATTTTTTATCCAGACGGTTTCAATGCTGGAAAGCTTAAAAAAATACGCGATTCCCATCGACTCTGTTGGATATTTCATTGCCAGGAATGATTGAGAAATCGTTATCTAATTAGATCTAATGGTTCGAGTAAAATTGATAAACGATCGTTTCACAGTCCCAGGAATCTCCGATATGAATGTGGCGTGTGTCCGATTATTATCATTCCGTGCAACAGATTTTATTGAATGTGAGAAAGTTGCGACGCACATGCAGCGAGAGCGTTTGTAACGATTCCCGCGATATTTCAATCCTCAAGGATCGGACAGGACGGTTGGAATCCTTCGTTCGTTTTCCTGGTAATAAATAATCAGATCTAGGAGTGTCTGCGCGGTACCGCGGAATTTATGAAGACGGAAAGTTATAGTTCCCATCGCGAGGGCAATTATAACGTACGGCCGGCGAATATCGATGGAAAATTCGCGGTGATCAATTTAAATCATCCAGTAAGACCGGAAGAACCGTACGTACGTGTCGAAGTGAGGCAGATCGAAACGATGGTCTACGTCGGTTTATCATCGGCCAATCGCGCTGCGTGGCTCTTCCTTGAGATCAGGGAAAGCCGAACGCCGCTCGATTTTACAGTCGCAGCGAATATATTCCGTATTCCGTTGCGTACGCAGCGGAACGCGCACAGAATTCCTCGAGATGGTAATTCGAAGCGGTCAGTTTACTTCCGCGCCTGGAATTCTCGGCAAAAAAACGTGTCGAAGACCGAGGAAACGCGTGCGCACGCGTGCACCGTGGGAAACCGCACGCGATCGCGCGATTAATCGGACGTTGATGAGTTAATACGAGCGAAGGACAACGATAAACAGGTTGCAGGGAATGTTTGCGCGATACTTGTTTATTTTTATCACGCGGAAACTGTTACCCGCTAACTGCACCCGTTGACGATTAAATGTAGAAAGTCCGAGGCTCGTGACTAGGTAATTTATCTGCGTGTGAGGCCATTTATTTCCGCTACCATTTTCGAAAAGAATATTTTTGAACGTTGCATCATTCGAATTTAATCAGACATTCGAAGTTTTGCTAGAGTACATAGGAAGGAGTTTTGAAAGTTGAAGGAATAATGTGTAATTGTTTCAAACATTTTAAATCAATAGTTCAGTAGCATAGTCTAATACAATCCGTAACTTCCACTGATACAAAACTTCTTAACACCCCAAACTCCAAGGGGTACAGTCAAAAAATAAATTAACCTACAGTTGCAATCCTCAATTGCCTCTAACCAAATCCTCTTTCAGTGGATAGGTCTCCTTCGAGGCCTAGATATCTTGGCCCTATTAGCCTTCCTGCTATTTTTGGCCGCGCCATCTCTGTCGATCACTCCTTCGAATCCTTGAACCCCAACGCCGTTCCAGTCCTGGCTGAAAGGCACCGGCACCTGCACCCAATAGGGGAACGGTTTCTCCACAGGAATAGGCACAGGTTTCGGCATGGAAACCTCGTAGGGTCTGTCCACCTGGACTTTCACCGGTACTGGATAGGGCTTTTTCACTTCTACCTCAACTGGCTTCTCCACAGTGTACGGTTCTGGCTCGGGTACTTCGACAGGAACAGGTACAGGTCTCTCTACTAGTACTGGGTAGGGTGTATCAACTGGAACCTTGACTTTAACGGCGTAGGGTTTGGGTATAGCTACTGGATAAGGCTTAGCTACCTCCACTGGGTAGGGTTTTGGTACAGGCACTGGGTAGGGCCGATTCACAACGACTTTCACGGGTACGGGTACCTTTTTTTCTACCTCGTAGGGCTCTGGTACCTTCACTGGCACCTTCACTTCGTATGGGACAGCCTTGTCCACCATGTAAGGCTGTGGCACAGGTACCTTAACTTCTACTGGTACTTTTTTCTCAACGGTGTATGGTTGAGGAACCGGTACCTCTACTTTGTATGGAACCGGACGATCGACCTTCACCTCGTACGGCACCTGCTTCTCCACTGTATAGGGCTCCGGTACCTCTACCGGTACGTTCACGTAGACTTTAACTGGGTAAGGTACTTTCTTTTCGACAGTGTATGGTTGTGGCACCGGTACCTTCACTTCGTAGGGCACATGTCGGTATAGAGGATACGGTACCTTTTTCTCGACGGTTACTGGTACAGGCACCTTTTTCTCTATTGTTATTACTCGAGACTTGTCCCAAGCTTCTGGTGCCTCGTCACTTCGAGGATATCTTCTCCAGTCTTCGTCCATTTTACTAGACCAATTGAAGGACGGTTTGAATCTCATTCCTCTCAAGAATGGACGCCAATCGTTGTCGTCTTCTTGGTCGTCTTCTTCTATGGATGAATGGCTTCCCATGAATCTGTCGTTGTATCTTGTGTCTTCAATTTGCTCTGCTTTCCGGACGGTAGAATGGGACTCGCGGACTGTTTTCGATTCTGTAGTCATGTTTCCGCTTTCTAGTGCCTTCTCTACTGCCCTCTCGGCTACTCTTTCAGCTGCTTTTTCGACTGCCAGCTCTGCGGCCCTTTCTAGATCCTCTTTGCGGGTGGCAGAGCATGTTATGGTTGTTGAGAGACACAGGAATGCGATGATGATGTGCTGCTTCTTGTAGAAAGAGGAAGAAAATATTAGTATAACGATAGAAGGTTTTTATATTTTTAAGATTTACATGCATTGTAAATGATTGAGAATCTCAAATCTGTTAATAATTAATGAAGAGGGTTCAAAATATTTTAGTAGTTACAGAATGTTTTTGACAAGTGCATTTTTGTTGTGACTGACCTCCAATTGGCCAAGGAAAGTTAATAACAAAGTTGGATACGAGAAAGAATAATAGTAAAGGAAATAGAATAACAACCTGCTGTCCCATGATGAGCTGTTGCTAGCTTAGACGCTGGACTAAGATGCACTGAAACCAAACGGATAAGTGCCACGGGATTATTTATATACCGTGGACGACTTTCGCCTGTCCAACCAGCTCGTACCCTTATAGGCTCGCGCCACTTTTCGTGACAATTATCCACGGTTAAATGTTCAGCCATTGTTTTTCATGGTAATTGGTGTAGCCCGCCACCATCGCGGAAACGACAACGCGACGCTGACCGTGCGGGCATTCATTATTCGGCTCGTAAAACGATCTCCGAGAACGAAAAGAATTTTAACAGCAACCAGTCCGTATAATAACTGTGTCTAAAGAACTTAGTCGTTTCGGTTGAACAATCGAAATTCACTTCTATGGATTTATGGTTATAAGTAGTATTGATATCCCTAATTTCTTGTGTTCAACAATCGAAAATTGTTTACTCATTTGTCTCTTCCTTAATGTTATTCAAATATATTGTGCTTTGTGCTATAAAGGAAAAGTAAAACATTGCTTGGTAGTAAAAATTAGGGATAAGAAGCAGAAATTACAGAGCCGAATGTTTCGGCGTGGAATTCGAAGAAGAAATGGACCGTTGACCGAGGTTTCGACAACCAGGAGGTGTCCATGAACTCGAGAAAACCACGAACGACGGTGTTAAACCGTATTTTATGAGACAGCGATCAGTTGCTATTTAGTTCTAGCTCATTAATTTCATGAAAATCTCGCAGGAACGGCGACGCTGTCTGACAGATGAAAGCGAACGTCCACTTTCCATAGGCGACCGTAAAACCGCGCGAACCTTGCACCGCCATTAGAACGCGTTTTTTGACGGAAACGTTTGTTCCGGAACGGTCGAAGGTTTCTTCGCGGAATCGGTAATAAATACTTCACCGGGTACGGGGTGATTTTTCACAATTGTTCCGTGATATTAAATCGACGACATTGTTCGACCAGTCTTCTCCCACGTATTCACTTGATCCAATTCCTCCTCGATCATCAAGTTTCTCGGTACAGTGAAACCGAAACCGGTGTAAAAGTTCTCTTACCATTTTCAAACGCACCACTTTCTTCCAACAGCTTCGCCAATCACGTCAGAAAACTGTTACACCCAGTTTGCTGTTTTCTATTTGCACAGTGACACGGTTTCACGAGAAAAAAGTCGCTAGGCACCAGACTCCACCTCGATTCGAGCGAATTTATCATATTATTGAGTAACCGTCGCGGCACACACGCGTGTTTTAACGATTATAGGAAACTGATAGTTTCTAATGCTCGGCTCGTAAAGTCTAGATACTATGGTAAAAGGAAATAATTTCGATTAAATCCCTTGAAGCGCGTGAACTCGGTGGACGCCGGGTGGTTTTTGTATATTAATTTTATATAATCTCACTTTTTCCTAGCGGAGGATTAAAGGCTTAATGTAAACAGATAAATAAGACACGAATTATTGGAAAGGAAACGCGCCGTAGCAGTCCGAACGGAATGGTAATTGATACAGCGTTCAGTGATTTCAATGCTCGTATAAGCGGTGTCGTCAGGCTCCAGTGGTTCCGATGCGTGAATAAATCTTCACGAATGACCGACTCGTGTTACCAAGTTATTAACTGCTCAAAGTTCTGAAGGAAATCTATTTCAATCTTAAAAAATATAATTCAATGTAACTATTACAATATTAAAATAATTAAAGATTGTAGTTATATAAAACGTACATAAACGTACGGTAAATGAGTAGGAAAAGGCTTAAGGAGAATTATATAAGATAAAAATCGGGTGTATTATCTATTTAATTTTGATTACATATTATATAATATTTGATATTTATTTATTGAATATTTTAAATATGTTACTGATTCGATGTCATACAATTTTATTTATTTCCGCTCTAAATTCGCGACATCGAGAGCAAAGGTTGATTATGTAGAAAGTCGGGATCAAGGTTGGAAGACACGTCGCACCGCGTTTGTTTCCAGAATCAATTATGGCACGATCTGTCGCGATGCAATTACATTGAGACGAAGAGAAACGTGACCGGAATGCAGTGAGCTCCTAGATTTCGCTGTGCTTGCAAAGAAATGGTCTAAATCGCATGTTTGAGGAGCATCTGGTTTCTAAACTGGCTGGGGATTATACTTATCGAGCATTAACATACTCGGCGCAAATGAAACTGACCGAAGCTTTCACGCGCAGTTCTTTGATTAAATGAAATCGAAGCGTTGACTTCTTTTCAGTGTACTATCGGATAAGGATAACATTAATTTTATATCGTGCCACCTCTCGCGGAATACGCTCGCACTAGAACAGAAACTGCACTGTCGATATGCGCTGCGGTGTGCTGCGATTCTCCATCGAAATGCATTTCCCTGTAAGTTGCAGCGATATTAAGATGGCGTTACTGGTTTCTTCGGGCTTTTGCAAAATAAATTGCAACAGAAAAATAAAGAATAATATATTGAATAAATTACAAACAGGCATCGAGTCCTAGAGTCTTAGCTTTCTAGATATTCGTTCCGCTCATCAACCTTTGACACAATTATTAAAAGTATTTTGTACCTTACATTATTATTTGCTCCCGGATCTTCGTGCACACATAAATTTTTCATAAACTCTAACTGTTAACATTTGGAATCAAAGAAAATTTACATTAGTGAAGCTACTAAAATATTTTAAACAACATAAGAATCTCGATACATTTTCTCAATCTCGTCGAATTTAAGATAAAAAATGTAACAAATATTCAAGACCCCTAACGGAACAATCAAAGATCGTCGTAAACAACATTAACAGTCACAACGATCTCAGTCGAAATACATTTCCGAACGATGCTAACTCCTAACGCAATTCTCGAAGCTGCGAAGCTTCCGTCGTCAATCCAAGTATCATTAAAAATGAATTACATATTTCCCTATGACAGTCGGTGCAACCGTTTCACCGTGCCCATTCGTGATACTCGATCGCCGGGGATTCGATGATTCCAACCCCTTCGTCGTGACCTGGAACAGGGACGGGTACCTTGATGGGATAAGGGACTGGTTTCTCAACGGGATAAGCGACGGGTCTAGTCACGTGCACAGGTACCGGCCTGTCAACGGGTATTCTCACCGGAATAGGTACTGGTCTTTCTACAGAGTACGGTACCTCTTTCTCAACGGGATACGGAGCGGGTACAGGTACCTTCACCTTAACTGGAACTGGCTTATCTACTGGTACAGGTACTGGTCTAGGTACTTCGACCCTAATGGGTACGGGTACAGGCTTGTCAACCGGGTAGGGCACGGGTTTAGACACAGGCACTGGGTAAGGTTTAGGTACTGGTACTGGCACCGGTTGCTCTACTTCAATCTTTAGAGGATAGTGGACTATTTTCTCCACCGGGTACGGCTGGGACACGTGTACGGGTATCTTAACGGGTACTGGTATCCTGCGTTCGATGGGGAATGGTTCGGGTACGGGTATCTTTACTTCGTAATGAACCTTCTTTTCGACTGGGTAGGGCTCTGGCACGTAGATCTTCACTGGCACTGGACGATCTACGGGTACCTGAACTGGATAGGGTATTTCCTTGATCACAGCCACCGGTTTAGGAATCTTAATGGGTACCCTAACGAAGACTTTCACTGGGTAGGGTACCTTCTTTTCAATTGGGAATGGTTGAGGTACTGGTACTTTGACGGGATAGGGGATGTTCTTCACAACCGGGTAGGGGACGTTCTTCACGACTGGATATGGTATCGCTACTTTCTTCACCACTGTCACCAGCTTGTGCATGTCCTCATGTATCTGGTGTCCTTGGACTTGTCCATCGTGCGGGATGTCAACCGATACGCTCTCGTGCTCTGAAACAAAGGACTCTCCTCCGTGGAAGCCTCTAACTTCGGCTAGGTGTTCCGCTTTTAAGCTTTCGCCTTCTAGGTGTCCGACGTCGTATTGGGTTCCCTCCAGTGGCCCGTTATATTTATCGTCTACAATTATTTTGGTCGATTAGTGGATTGTGGATTTCTATGGAGATTAGAGAGATATTTGGGATCGAATTTCATTTTGTGTGAGATAATTGTGTGCGTGTGTGTGTGTGTGTTTTGGGGAATGTTGCAGAAGATTCACGGTCTTGTAATTGGCTGTGATTCGAATTTATTAACCATTATGTTTCTAGAGTCGTTTTATTAATTGCAAGGGAAAATTGGTATGTTCTGGATTTACGTACCTCGCTTTCCAACAAATTTCACGGAGCCTCTAATGTTTTTCTGTATTGTACTGTTCGTTCTCTTTTCTGCTGGTTGTTGAAGTCTTCGTTCTCCATACAAAGGCTTTTGCACTTTAGTGTAAACAGCTCTGTGATGCTTTCTGTCCCGGGCTGGAAAGCTCGATGACGTTGCGGCAAAGAGTAACAGAATGACCACGATGTTCCTCTGCAACAATTATTAATATTGCAGAATTATTAACGAAACCTTATTCAGGAAACAATAAGTGTTAAATCTTTTACTTCGACTTTGCCAATTCACCACTGATCTATTACAAATTAAATTTAAAACAAAATAATCAAAGTCCTTTCAGTAATTCACCATCGATCTATCATATATCAAATTTAAATCGAAATAACCAAAATCTCTTTTAGCAATTCACCACCAATTAATCCCAAAACATATTACTATATTTTCCAATCTAAAACACTCCACACGATCAAATAACGAAAATCACTGTCACTATTAACCCAAAATCACACGATATCGATTCTTCCAGTTCTCCAGAAACCGTCCTAAAGGAAACGTACCATAAAACCCATCCTAAAGGATGCAAAACACCAATTTGTCCAGGATTAGAATCGATCGAACGTAATCGAACGCCGAGTAATCGAAACCAGTAGCAAGTAAATCAATGCCGAAGAGTCACTAGCTTTTATATACGCGTTTCTCGTTGCCGATCCAGAGGCTGCACACGTTGGTAGCCTCTTCATCGAGGGGGGACGATCGCTTTCGCGTCGCAGACAGTGAAACTATGCCAACTGACGCCGCTTCAGAGCCCAGCCTCTTAGAAAAATGTAGACTGAGGACCGATGAACCGTAAAGGGAGTGACATTGGACCTTGATCTTTTGCGATGTATTCCAGTGACCTTGAAAACCGTTCCGCCGAGAATACGGATCGATCTCGATGCGAGTCACGCGTGAAACGAAAGCGAAAGATCGCCGAGATCAATCTTCATACGCGAACCGCGTAAGATTTCTACTCGCGAACGGAATCGGGACGCGCAGGAATTTCTGAAAATTCGGCGTGGCATTCTTTACATGAATAATAGCAGCTTCAGTGAAGGGGAAAATCACATTCTTGCCTTAACGATTTAGTTAAGGATACATGTTTCGAATTCCAAGGGTTTCGTAAGATAACGTGTGATCTTTTATAGATTAACTTAATTAGGCAGTATCGAACGGTGAGAATGATTAATTATTTACGGTATGCGGATGTTCATGTAAACCGGAATTCTTCGAACTTTTTCCCGAGTGATTTACTGTCAATGTACAGTTTCACTCAGCGGTAAGCGAAACGATAAGTTTATTGGATCTTCGTTAACGCCCGCCGATCTTTACGTTCGTCGCGTTACGAAGCACTATGCGCGAGTTACAGCATTGTGCGTGAATTACGGTGAATATGTCGTAAGGTTTTTATCGTTGCCCCCGAATGACGAAATTATTTTATTCTACGTATTCAGGCGAAAGTGCGTTTACGATCCCGCTGATTGTCTAACGAAATATCGCGGATTCTTAATTAAGGCGGGTTTAATAGTTCCGTCCGTTGGGTCGAAACATTTTGACCATTGATGTCCCGAGGTTTCTCATTTATCAACGATTAAATTTGATGGGGACTTAATCGAGCGTGACTCGGGGAGAATTGATCTTACTATATCGCGAATAGGAGCGGTTTTAAAGACAGTGCACGCTGCCTTCCGGGTAACGGCCGGAAACTGCTGTGGACTTTCACGGCCGTGCACTGTGTGAACGGAAACTGTGTCGTCGTTACAACTGTAATCTTGAAGAAGGTGGACAGATCGTGCTGTCGAACGTAATAGAGGGACCCTACCGTGGAGAAAACGGCGATCGCGTTTACCGAGACCGTTTTCCTCGGTTTTCACGGTTAACACGCGATAATTATGTACCGTGAATCCCACTCGTTTTTATTGATTCTTTATCGGACCAGAGATATCTAAATGCTCGAACAATTATTTGTCGAAATGTTTATTTGTCAGACTTACGAAATTTCTTGTTAGTTTGACAGAATAATTAGAGAACGAAGAGACTTCGGCTAATTGTTGTGTATAATTTTGAGAACATTTTCAAACAGTTAACCGAGGAATTTTAAATGGATCGATTCTCACGTTTTTATTCGGACATTCAGTTTTACGGTAATGGGTTAAACCTATATTTCGAAGATTTTAATTAACGGTTATTGGGTTTTCTGCTTTCGAAAGAAAAAGAAGAAAGGAATTTTCAATTAATTATCAGTTAAGTTTCTCGCCAGCTCGGATTGCTGTGCCAATTATTCCTGTTTAATGGACTATTTGTCGGGAAAAGTAGCAAGGGCACGCGATGCGTGCCAAACGAGCTTGCGGATAACGAGTCGGCGTTGTTGTTTATGGAAATTTTAAACAATTAGGCGTTTCTGGATCGTTCTACGTGTTTAACACGCATGGAGATTTCACTTTCGATGCGTGTATGTTAATTTCCCTTTTAAGGTAACGATACGGTTCGTTCGCTCTAAGAAATATCATTAAGAAAAAAAAATTCTCTTTGATGTAAAACATTGGCGCTTGATGTTTCGAAATGAGCTCAATTTATGTGAGCGAACGAATACCGGGCTACATTATTGCCCTTTTAATTTGATAGTAAATTTAGTAACTACGTTCGAATGTTTCTACTCAAAATTATCTGATTTTTTAATACATCTGTCACTTTGACTAAATTTATATATTCTGATGTGCTAAGAGAGTATAGAGATTTCTACTTCAAATTGTTTTACAAATTTTCGAGTTAAGTGTTGAATGTGAATAAACCATTCGCTGAGAAAATCGTGCGACTGACTTATCGACGCACGCTCAGAGAAAGGAGTAACGAATGCGCAGATACAGTCGCAGTAGCATCGACAAGAACCTTCGTCGATCAATTTACCGACTAGCGTTAAGTGAAAGGGTTCACGAAAGTATTCACCGACTCGCAGAAAGCGCGGCAGAAGTTTAAAAAAACGGTACACATTGAATTCGTCACAAATTACGCCTATTAACCGTTCATAAATGTATCTTATTGCAACTATAGCCTCAAATTGATACTCCATAATCATCTGCTCACCTCTGAAGCTACATTCATCATTTAACTCTTTAACTCGCGTGATACTCACCTTCTAGTCAAGTATACGAATAAATTGTTATTAATCAAAAGCGTTTACTTGTAACGCAATAAACAGCAAGAACGACACATAATGATTTACAGATAACATTGGAAACTTTTCAATCCTTTCATTTACATATAATTCCTAGTTCGTATTAAATAGCAAAAAGACAATTAAGCATTTTAGCAACGATTTCCTCATTTGAATTCGACACTTACCGCGTCAGTATGACGGAAAAGGAAAAGGATCGATTCACAGCGGCGTGGAACCGAAGTCTCGCGCCGAGGGTGATCATCTCGTCGGAGGTCTCTCACTTTCAGCCTGTGTAGATAGTCGCGTGCGCCGGCAAGACGATTGCGTAACGACTGGCTCGTCCAATGGACAGGCACGTAAGTCGTTCGTGAGTCAAGTAGCTCGGCTGGGCACGGTTCGAAGTGGGTCGGTGCGCGGAACTTCACCGTGGATGAATTAACTTACCGGGCGCGATCTCCGACACGGTCCGCCGCCCTTCGCCGTCACTAACGAAGTCAATCGAAGATTTTTTAATGGATGCGCGGGCACGCGCGCAGCACCGGCCCCCTCGCAAATTAATATCCTTCCAGTTATGTCGTCGGAATTTTTCTTCGCTAACAGTTTCTGCGTTTCCCTGCCTTCGCTCCGTTAACCCGGTTATTTTTTGCAGCGGATACTCGCGGAGACTTAATGAAAGGAAAATAACGACGATCTGAGGCAATTCGCGTTCTAATAAACGAGTCTCGTATTAAATAAAAAGTGTAATAAATGTATGCAGCGCAGTGGACGCTGCTGCGAATATTGTGGCATAATTAGATACTAAAGTCTTTAGCGAAGTAAATGCGAAAAGGAGGACTAAATTGAAGTTACCGGTTAATACCCGCGACGAGTTAACTCGTCATCCCTGTTTAATAGGTTGAGCAAGCGTCCGTACAATTCCTCGCGACTCGAAATCGTGGAGATCCTCGCGGTTGCTTAACGAACGTAATTGAACGTTGTTCTTTGGACTGTTGCTAAAGCTTCCGGCTTGAGGTTCCGGAACACAGACTTCGGTGCTGCCTTCTTAATAAATATTTTCCTTCGACGTTTCGAGGCAAAGATGAAGGCTCGTCGATGTCTCGCGATTCAACTTCAATCCTTCGAAAATGTCGAAGAACTACTTACTTGGCCAGAAAGTAACGTATTCTAAAGTTCCACGTGAAATATTGTAAATATATTATGAAGCATGTTGAAAGTTAATTTAATATATATCTTTTTACAAGGGATGAAAAGATTTTCTGACCCGCGATAGAATCTATAATAATTTGGATGAATACTAGAAACTCCGTAACTAAATTCATTCGGCAAGGCACAGCTACAGGAACGGTGGTTTGAGGGATGAAACCCAGATTCCCCCAGCGACAATAATAAAAATACGAGCAAGAGGTATGGATCGTCTCTGTCATCCTCACACCGTCACAATTCCTCCGCGTCTGAAATTAGGATGGAGAACCTACCCTCCCGGTGGATCATCCCCCAGAAAATAGAATTGGGTTGAAGAGCGACGGGCTGTCGGGGCAAATTACGAGGGGCACGTGGACGACGCGAGGGGTGATCAAGAGCATCGATTTGGCAAGGGAATGCCTTGGCACCCGAGGAACTGGGTCGCGGTTGCCCCGTTCGATGTATCGATGCGGCCACCATCTGTGCGGACACGTGCGCGCCGAGCCCGCGGAAACTTTCCCCGCAGGAATCGATCGAACGCTCGTTACCGTGATTACAATGATCGCCGATCCAGCGACGCAAACGAAAGCGAAACAATTTTCAGGCACAAAAGCGAATAAAATCGGGCGGCACTCAACCGCTCGTGAAATTCCAGCATTTCACCGTTGGACGAATGACGGTGATCGTTTGACCCGAAATTGTTTCTAGAACGACGGATCCTTGATCGTCGTCGTAAACCGCTTAAACGATATACAGGTACTAGGCCGTGAGCCGGGCATGCGGAAAATGAAAGTGGAAATTGTTAAACAACTCGTGACAGCGTCGGGTAACCAGGGAACTCGGTTGGCGGGTCGTTACATCGGACAACAGTGTTACATTATTAACATATATTTCGTAAAAAAAAATACATATTCTGCTATGTCGCTGTAGAAAAACGTAAGACAAGCGGGCTGTTTTGCGAGCGAAGGCCACTAGAGACAGGCTCCACACCTATGAGCATCACCGTTCCGTTTCTTGCGGTGACACGCGCCGCCTTACAGCTCGGCACGATCTATCGCGGGTAGACAGGGCCATCAGGGTCGCGTGCCGGTCGACCGGAAGTCTTCCGCGCCCGGTGGCAGTCCAGGTACAAAAGAAGGTAATCGTGTGTATATTTGCGTGTGTGCTGTGTTCGACGCGTGCCACGTCCAATTTGAATTCGTTTTCTTCTCCCGTGTGTAACCCTATAATCGTCGATTTACACGGTCACCATAAGTACCCGCCGTCAGGTTCTCTAATCTGCGTGACCGTGAATCAACGAAGCTCGATATTTAATGGTATCCATGGCTGCCGGCCCAGTCATTGCTGTAGCCGTGCTCGTGGTGCACCGGTACCGCGACGGGTACTTTGACTGGGTACGGTACAGGCTTCTCGACTGCATAAGGTACTGGCCTCTCAACATGAACTGGGTACGGTCTGTCGACTGGTACTCTCACCTCGACGGGTACAGGCCTCTCCACTGGGTAGGGCACCGGCTTCTCAACCGGGTAGGGCTGGGGAACGGGTACCTTCACCGGCACGGCGTACGGCCTGTCTACTGGGACCGGGTACGGTCTGTCTACTGGTACCTTGACTGGGACGGGCACGGGTTTCTCGACTGGGTAGGGTACGGGCTTCTCAATGTGCACTGGGTAAGGCTTGGGTACTGGCACGTGGATCGGACGGTCAACCGGGACCTTGACTGGGACCAATCTCTCCACTGGATAGGGCTGTGGTATATGGACCGGAACCTTGATATGCACTGGGACTGGCTTCTCGACAGGGTACGGTTGTGGCACTGGTATCTTCACTGGGACGTGTATGTGCTTCTCAACTGGGTACGGCTGGGGAACCAGTACTTTGACGGGTACCGGACGGTCGACTGGCACGTGGACGGGGTACGGGACCTTCTTCTCCACTGGGTACGGTTGTGGTACCGGAACTTCGACTGGAACCTTGACGTAGACCTTCACCGGGTAGGGCTTTTCGACTGGGTACGGTTGCGGTACTGGGACCTTAACTGGGACAGGTACTGGCTTCTCGACCGGGTACGGCACATGTTTCTCGACCGGGACGGCTACAGGGACGTTCTTCACCACGGTGATGGTCTTGATATGCTCGTGATGGCCGTGGCCGAGGGCATGGCCGTAGCCACCCCCTAGACCAATTCCGTAATCACCGCCGAGCTCTAAGCCACCGTGGCCACCGCCTCCGATGTCATAGCCACCATCGTACCCGTAACCATAACCCAGGCCGAGCAGCCCGCGTTTCTCCTGCTTCTTCGTGGACTTGTCTTCTATCGGCGCTTCTACCTTCTCAGCCGTCTTGACCACCTCGGCCCAAGCCGCCGAAACCAGCAGGGCGATCGCTGCCGTGTAGACCTGGAAACCACATAGACGTCAGATTGCTTTACCGCGGTTGCACGAACGAAAGCGACAGTCGGCTAACGGTCGGAAACGAATGGCACGGTTCTACGATTGCCGACGGGGGTGCTAGGAGACTATCGATTTCACCCGGTACTCTGATACGACCTCGAACGCGGTTTCGATTAACACTGCGGCTCAGTCGTTTCCGCGGCGCGAACGATTCTATGGAGAACAACGCGAAACGGATCGCGGGGTATTCCCTTCGGGAATCACTGTGCCCTGAGGTACCCTCGGATATTCTTTGCGTTGCTTGCCGCGACCGATCGTCACTGGTGTCTCGGATAATCGCGTCCCTCCGCATTTTTGCCGGTACGACGCCGCGTCACCGTTTACACGTTCACGTACCAGGATTCTCATTTTTGCTCTCGAGATATTCCAGGTGCGTCCAGGAGTGAACTGGATGCTGATTGCCGGCGGTTCGTCGCCTTATATACGCGGCATACTTTCGCCTTCGCCACCCGGGCCCAACTCGCGTACCCCCACGTTACACCTCTTTGTTCGCGTGGAGCGACCACGATCGGCTACCACTCCCCTTCGGGGCCACACGGGCTCACCTCCTCCTTCGTCCTCCTTCTCCTCCCCCACGCCTCTCGAAAAGCTGCCCTCCCGCCCGCCTCACCCCCCAGGGCGCCACTGGTTTCGTTTTCTTCTTCGTTCGATGGGATCCCCACTGGTGTTCCGCCACGGACTTTACCTCTTACGCGACGATGTCGACGATGCCGACGATGCCACGCGGCCGGGAGTCGTTTCTTCTGTTCGACGCCTGACGTTTGACCCTTTTTCGCGGCGGAGCACCGGTGAGTCCTAATCATTCTGCTTGGATGCTGGATACTTCGCTGATCCTTGTTGCCGATATTCGTGGCCGACTGCCGCGTGATAAAGGATTTTTGGTAGCTGTTGGTGTAATTATATTTTATTAGCTCGATAAGCATTTTAATGGGATAAATTCACTACTAACTTGTCAGCTTGAATGATTTAATTATGTTCTACGAGGCTGGTATTTAAGTATAATCTTGGCATACTTTTTAATTCAATAACTTGAGTGCTGGCTTCGGGGATTATTCCGTGGAAATTTCAGTTCGCTCGAACGTCTGTGATATAGAATACATTAACACGGTATTTTTGGTTGGATTTATTGGAACGAGATCCGACTGATAGCGATATTAATCAGCAACACTATCGACACATTTTGTCGATATCCTGGGTTCATAAAGAATATTCATTGTAATTAATTAAATCCCTCCTGTATGATTGATTGAACAATATTGATGTTTAATGTACTCTCTTCTTTCATGCATCACGCGTTCTATTCCTATTTTCTGCTTCTAATAGACTGACTGGTACTAATAAATGAAAATAACACTCAGCTGATCTAACTAAGAAACAGATGCATGCATATTCATCGATTTCGAGATAGCCGCGATGCGTAAAGATAAGAAGAGTATAAATACTACGACCTTTCGATGACGAAAGTGCGATCATCGAAGGAACAATCTTGTTAGTGAATGCTATTAATGCCAGTGTCGGTCGGAACTGGTTTCGATGAATTTTTCTCGACCAAACTGTGTCAGTGATTTCAATGCAACCCATTTAGGTCACTGTGCTAAAATTTTGGATAAAATCAATGTTTCATAGCCTGTCATACACTTATCTTACTTTCTTGATCTGCTCGAGTTCTCTAGAGGAACAATTCTCACAATTATGGGTTACAATTACTGGCTGAGATCACCTGAAACTTATGTCAGAAGTGCCCGAAGTGTTCCACTCCCGTCACGTCATTTATGAATCAGTCAAACATTCCTAACTATGACAATCTGACCCGCAAACGCTCAAATTAAGAGTTCATCTGCAGCATATCTTAAGTACGATCCAAGGAACCCCAAGACGCATCTAGAATTCATCCATTCGAAGATACCCGGTCTCTTTTGCGCAATAACACACAATCTCATAGTATTATCGGATTTAAAATTTAAATTCGTCGAACCTAAAATTCAGCAATATTATAAATTTGCTTTTGATTACGCAACAGGCTCACGATGCCGTCCTCGAGAAATATTCCCGCTCGTTCATTCATTAACCGCTCCAAAATAGGAGAGGCTTAACTAAGCTTCCACTTAGCTGGAAGAAACGTCTCTCCCGATAAAAATATCCCGTCGCAACCGCGAAAGCAACATTCCTTATCCAAGATTGCCCCGAATCACTGCAAAATTCATTAAACGTTGCTTGCCGATTAACCCTTTGAGGACGGATGTCTTTCTTTAGGCGTATATAGAATACAAGACATAATTGAATCGTTTAAATGACAAGAGATCAATGCAAAGTTTTCTTTCTCACTGGAATTTATGAGTTCGATGGATAGTTTACTTTCGCGAAATGTTTTGAACACTTCAAAAATTCCTCGTCCGCGAAGGATTAATCACTTAGCTATTGTGACCTCTTTAAAAACTGTATACCTTATTCCAGCATATGTACATGACCATATCTACAAATAATTGTCTTGAGAATTTTCATTCAAGTAACGTATACCTATAAAACTGTTTGCTTCGAAAACGAATATTTCCTTAATTCATTTGCAACCATGTGCATCACGACGAAGTATGAAAAATATGACAGTAACCAGGAAAACTGAGCGTATACATACGCTACTGATACAAATGGATTATAACCAGTTAGCTATTTTTCGACGAGTATACTCGTTACGATACAAAACCTCGCCATTCCTTCCTGTCGAGTGTACTCGTCAAAAACATCTAACTGGTGAAATTCCCAGACGATGAAGCCTTCCCCCTAAAAATATCTGAAAACAGGATACCCGGGAATGATGTGAAAACAATTTAAAACATAATAACCGAAAATCGAGTGAAAAATATCGAGGAACATCGGCGGGATCATCAGTTTTTACTTTCATACGAGTGACGCAACGTCCGAAAAAGTGCGACACAAATTCCCGGCGCGGTTGCACGAGAGTTCCGGGTCTCGTTCCGCCTAGCGAGAGTAATTTGCATTCCATCCCGAGACGGCCGCGCAAGGTATCTCCCTTAATTACTGTTTCACGGTAAATTTGCCGGTACCAAGTTGTCGGTCGGGTCTCGCTCGTCCTCAACCCTCGTCCTCCAGCCGAACGGATTCCGAGTGAAAGTACCGTGTCGTCGGGGAACAAATCATCCGCGACCGTTTGCCGAAATGATCGTCCCGTCCGTCGCAACCGACGGCACGACGCTGCGGCGGCGTTGTTTATTTCGGTTTTTTGCCGCCGTGGATCGCGATCGATGCAACACGGCTCGCCTCGATCCCTCCTCCCTTTCTCCCGTTTCTCGTCCTTCTCCTCGAGGCAACCTCGACGGGTTACGTGTGCCACGTTAGCGTAAGACTCTCTCGTAGGATTTATCCGCCGCCGATCTCGTGGGTGCAACCATTTACCTCCCTTTCATGAGACACGCGGCTCCCTACGTCACGATCTCCCCTCACCCGAGACGACGCGGTTCCGTTTTCTTCTACGCGGACGCCTACTTACCGGTTATGCTCGTGTTTACCCGCTAACTGAGCAATGACGATTGTTTTTGAGGACGACGCGTCCGGAATTTGGGATTTTTACGGTTTAGTTTGCCTTCTGGACGATTTTCAGCTTTTACTCGGTATGGTGTAGAATGTGATGGAATTTGGTGTTTTATTTAGGATGGTAGACTGTGTTGAATTTATTGTGATGGCCCATTCTTTATTAATTGTACTTTTCATACGATGGAAGAATGACAATTGTCTTTGTAGTTGCATCTAGGATTTTCATTTTGGTCATTGAGATGATTTTGGTATTGGGTTTTATCCAGTATGATGCAAAGTTTCATTTAATATAATATAAAATATGATTGAATTTAATATTGTTTTTATACTGATGTTATCCTACACTGGTTTACGCATCGAATCGTAGTGTATTAATCATGCTTCAGTATCCAAAACGGCAGTCGTGATACCGTTCTGTACCTTCGGTTCATTGGGTGGTCCAGTCCTGTTCCCCGCCCACGTTTTAATGACGAAATTGGAGAATTTTGTGTATGCGATTTCGTCGAAATGTCAGAGTACAAACTGGAAATTAATTAAATTAAAATTACGGGGAACTATGTATGTAGATAATTGGACTGCTGGTGATACGTACCAATTTACGTAATATTTAATTAAACGCAGCACTATAACACGAGACATTCAACGAAATATAATTAACCGGATTCCTTTTATTTTTTAGCTTAATACATTCCCGATTTAGCGACGCGTACATTCCTCTTGACATCGTTTCTAGAATCTAGGCTATTAAATTAATACAGCGAAAGACACATATTATCCGCGACACACTTTATATCCGGTTTAGACACATTACCAAGACGGACGTTCAAGATCCGCCAATGAATCAGAACCCACGAATATCGTAAAACAATTTCGACGCCGCAGAAGCGTTATCAATTCCCGGGAAAGTTTGCGAAACGACGGTGTCGGTTCGTGTAATCCGAAAAGGCGCATAAATTGGCGGAAAGGATTCACGAGGAAATCCAATTTCTTTTTTGCGCCTCTGGCAAAAACTCTCGAATCGATTTTCACGGGACTTGAAAGCCGATTCCGTTTAACGGCGCGCCGTGAAGTTGCCTAACGACGAAGGCTTCGAGAGCGATCGGTGAATCAAAAATTGCTGCTCTTAGAGAACAGCCGTCCTCGTAAAATGCCGAGCGTGGTGGCGGGGATCTATGAATATTGCCTCGACTGCGCTTATCAGTGGCGATAAATTCGACTGAAAAACGCGAGCAGAACGCGGATCCATGAATCACAGGCCTCGCCGTTAACGGAGAAGGTCTCACCGCGGTTCCAATTATTGTCAAAGGTGTTTCCCGTTCCCTTGGAATATCGATGGAGACGCCGGGACCGATTCGTTTCGATCGATTTTCCGCGTCTAGCCACTTACACGCGATCCCTCTCCACGTGGGCAGATCTTAAAGGTCAATCGATAAAATTCGCCGACGGGATTATTCTTAGCCGTGTAATCGGTGACCCCAGCCTACCACTGTTCGGTTTCACCTTCGGTTCGCATTAATCAACTCCTGGTTCCGTTCTTGAATGGAGATAAGAACCGCCGACTGTTTCGATTGAGTCATAAATAATGAGCAAACGATCGTTGCGAGTTATGGACGAGCGTTAGGAATCGGATACCGCATTCTCGATTGGATACTTTGCACGGAAAGCGATACAATTGCGCGTTCTATTTGTTGAAAGTTAACCGGAATCTATTCAACGCGGTATGCATTTGTTAATTATTACACAATTACATTTCTGGCATAGAATTCTCGTGATTAGTACCTGCACCGATCTGCAGGATTAGTGCACGGTAGTCATCCCCACCATTGATGGGTATCCTCTCGGCAAGCGACGAAGTTCGACGGTTGAGCAGTCATAATATGATACGTTTGTTCTGTGGTGATACATATCGGGAAACAATATTAATGCAATGGTGAAACTTTTTTATAAAAATAGTTTTGTAAATGAAACTCTTACTAATGTATTTGTGATATTTTTTTAATTAAAACAACGTCAAACATAATATACTTTAAGTCAAAATTTACTAGAAGAAAATAGATTATTGTAATTTGTTAAATAAGTATACATGTTCCGAAATATATCATGTTTGGTCTCGTTTTGATCAGAAAATCTGGATATTCAACTGGTAAAAGTTTCAATTATTAAAAGTCAAAAATAGAAAAGTTTGACATTGCATTAATATCTCCTTATTCATCTGTTTGTTTTGATCGTTACGAGCGTCTCGCTCTTTCATTCGCGCTATCCTTCTCTACAGAAGACAAACAGAGGAGCTCGGCTCAGATCTTATCTCGACTTCGAATCAATACCACTGCACGATTAGTGCTCGGTTGCAGTTCCGATTTTCGGGTACTGATCGTGAGAAAACTACCCTTTATTTCTCTTATCATTACTATCACGGAATTTTTAAAATACCGAAAACCCTTTAAGAAATGATGCTAGAAAATTCATCGAAATCTTAAATAGTAAACAGGAAGACGTGATAACTAGTGACTGCACTATTAACGCGATCTTAAAATAAACTCAACTAAATCACTATAAAAGAAGAAAGCCAATATCAATCTTTCATTAATCTCAAACAATTCAATCATTAATTTGCTTTCGATCTTACATAAAAAAAAACCTGTGACACACCTCAAAAGTATACCCAAAATAAAGCAACCAAATACTTATAGTTAACAACGATATATCTCACGATCTCCATCGACCATCTCTGGATATCTTCGTCTCCCACAAATCCGCCTACGAAATTCGCCGCGAAAGTCGATCGGTCAGTAAAACACCGGCCCCGTAATCGTTATGAAACGATCATCCGGCCATGGAAGCGGCTCGGCGTGCGCGCGACATTCCTCACACTTTCCAGCGCAGCGCACGGGAGTCTTCGGGATGCCGGCCAGAGGCATTTCGATGGAAAGTGTAGAGAGGCGGACGTAACACACCGAACGATCGCGAATCGCGATATTACGTAAAGGTCGCCACCGATGAAGAGTCTCCTCGGTGAAACACGCCGCTTCTTTCTTTCCACCAGTGATCTATTCATGGAAGAGAGCTCGACTTCGCCAACGGAATTTCTAGCCGGTGGATCTCGACCTCGTTGACACTGGCCTTGAAGACACTCCGTGATTTCTTCACAGCCAACCGCGAGACATTAACGGGGGTCATTAAACGCTACCAACGATCAATCTCTCTCTCTCTCTCTCTTTCTTTCTCTCTCTTCCTCTCTCTTCCCGGCCCGTTGTCACGTTCCGTTGGCTACCGTATCGATTGTCCTGCACCTCGATTTACCACTGTACCGAGGACCCATTGTTCGAGATCGATCACTGAATCGGAAATCGAGCCGAGTCCGCGTAACCGACGTCTTCCCGGGGATAAGCGTCTCTGTTGATCTATTCACACAGCGGGTTTCTAACTGGGAAATCGTATATCTAATTCACTTTCTCTCATATTTTTTTCAGGAATTTCGTGGCTGGCGTGCTACAGTTCCAGCTCTACCGGGCGATGTGCAATGCGGCCGGACAGAGGTTCGTCGATGATCCCAGGAGGCCTCTGCACAGGTGCGACTTCTATAGGAGTCCGAATGCTGGCAGGGTACTGGGGTGAGTGTTTGTAATGTGTTTTTGAAGCTTGAACGTGATTGAACGTTGATAGAAAGAAATTTGATTGGGACATGAGATTTAAAACGTTTAGTAAGAATTCTATGCGATTTAAAATATAGTTGATTGGGATTAGTGTTTAAAGATTGCTGGAAAGAAATTTGATTGGGACTTTATTTAAAACGTTTAAAATATTCAGGTGAAATTTGATTTAAAAGATTCAGTGCAGATTCCACGAGCTATCAGGAGTTAAGAAAATTAATACTATCATTAACGTTTCTTACTTTGCATTTTAAATTATTTCCTTCGTGCTAATTTTAATGGACAACATATAAAAACTCTCATGGAGATCCAGAATCTATTCGCGACTGTCGATCTGCCAACGAATGTGTTAATGGAGACCTCGAAGGCCGTAATTTTGATTTATGAATCAAAGAATACTAGTGTCTACACTTTGCGTACAACTGCGGCACGATTGAGTTAGCGTCTAGAATTAATTATGCAAAATCATAATTTAAAGCCACAGTCGTACAAGAAAGTGGACGTTAACAAATCCCTTTACGAATTTAGTGTGCCCGGGGACGTTTCGTTTTCGACTTTCTAAACCAAATGACAAATGCGCCCTAACATGGCTGGCTTTTACAGCGGAACGGGATAGCGTGTTAACAGACCTCCCGCAAAAAGCGTCGCAGTGCCGTCGAGCCGGCTAACGCCGCATTAAACTGCCGTAAAACTTCGGCCAATCTAGCTAAATTGACGAGGGAACATCACGAATCTCCAGGCGATTTCTTTTAGACGCGCGCTCGGAATATCGATAGAAAGCGGATAATCCAGACGGACGATTGAATAATCGATAGAGACGTCAAACGGATTTAAAGCACATCATGCAAGTTATGCGTCAATCGGTTCCCAATTAAGCAAATTAAAGTTTCTCCGGCGGCGAACGAGACTGTCGCGACCGCATTTGGACTGTCGCCGAAACGGAAATTTTTGATCGCATTCCGGAATTCCAGACAGGTTTCGATCTCGTTATCATTTGTGTTATATGTTTACGTAAAAAGATTTCGATCAATAACGACCAACGATAGGAATGCAGCTGTTTAATGATCATCGAGAATTGTTAGTTGATATTTAACGTGACCAGACAGGAACTTTTGGAACGAGACACGAGGATCGTTTACGAAGATATACATTTTGATTAGCGTTTCTTAAATAGAAGAGATAATGGGAAGGATAACACGATGCAGACAGAATTTTAGATAGCAATGAATTGCCAAGAGGATCCAAGATCGATTAAAGATTCTATAATTATGGATTCTAGTTATACATTCAAGGTGATAGGCAAATGACGGCGGCGTCCTTTGCATCTGTCGCGGATACGCTTTTCATAGAAGCATGCTGAATGTCTTCTCCGGTTTTTTCAACGAATTCGTGAAACTGGAACATTGAAAAAACCGGGTATTCCACTGACGATCGTTTTAATGCTTCTTCGACCAAACTGGGTGTTAAAATTATTGAATAATCGAGGCGACTCTTATCGGCTTCTTATAAAGATCACGGTAGTACCGTTAAATTATAACGTTCCACAAGGACACCGTTCAGTTTTTCGACAATTGCAAAACGATAAACTCGAAATACGTCCTTTCGACTGACCTCGCAGCCGTAGCATTAAAAACAACTCGAAATCGCGTCCATTTCGAAGTTTGGTCTGGTTCTCGAAACTGGTTCCCCGTTTGAGCAACCTTTCATGGAAAAAGTAAGTTTCCAAAATTAATAATGTCACTCTGCCAGGAATAGAAAGGATCATCGTAAACCGCAAAACAAGTGTGGAATCATGAAAAAAACTTGTCGTTATTTTAACACAATCCAATCGATTTTAAAAATGTCACGATGTTATTTTAATTTGGCTCGTCAAATTACAGTGGCGTAAAAGGCAGCATTAACGCTAGGACTATCGTACCGGTAAAAATGACTGGTTTCCGTTTCTTTGTTTTGCAATTATTGATATCTTAAAAGCATTGAATACTCGAAATTATATGGAAAACATATAGTTTCACTTGGATAACCTATAATTGATGTCTGAAGAAACTGAAAATAATGGATTGTTACAATTTCTATAGGGATTACATGTGAAACATAGTAAATGCTCGGTGGTTCTAGCGTTAAATCCGGATAAGAATCGACAATTTTGGTTTTGTTCAGTGAAAGATGCAAGCAAAATTTCGACAGGTTGGGACCGAAGTGAAAACTGAGAAGATTTGAAACCCTGTAATCAGAAACTATCAGGTGCTCGAAGATTTTTTATCGTGATCGTAAAACTCTTGCGAGACTCTCGTTTCTTCGAAACGTTAAAGCTCCTCGTGACTCTTTTATTTTTGTTAGTTTTGTTAGTTAAGTTATGAGTGTAAAGCATAAAAGAAAAATAGATTTGTATTCGACTATAAACGTTTCTTTACGCTCGTGCGTCGGTTACGCGTCGCTGGAACGGAGACATCGATGCGTGGGGCCCAAGGAAAGCGAGATGCGCGCGTCACTTATTGCGCTGACACTAAATCAAGCCGCAATTCGCAACGGGCCTGAGATGATGCGGCAGCCCGTGGGCTTTCGTCAGCAGAAGATATTACGCGTCGTGCATTATTATTTATCTCTCGATTCCTTTATCATTTCATCTGACTTTATTTTGTTATGATTTGCGACTCGCCTCATCTGACTTCTAAAAGGAAGATTTTCTTGAAAATGTCCCTATAGATATACTTTCCGGTGATATGAATGTATTTCCTTCATCGAACCCCTTCGATCATAAGTAATTTACAACAAAAATACGCGTTTCAATTTGAATTAACAAATGTTAATAGAACTACCGGGTAGATCAAATAATCATTTCAGATTTATTCTATTACAACTACCGTAAAGATACATATTTCCTCATAAATCGTTAAACAGACTCTTATCATTTACATTTGTATTTTATTATCTTGTATTATTTCAATTTTAACAAAATTACAGTCTTATCTTCTCGCTAGTCGCGTTAACCGCGTTAATCGATCGCCGTAAATCTCTGATTAATCGATCATTCTCACAAATAACGTATTATTCATAAGTTGGACAAACAGCGCAAGTAGGTTGCAATAAATAACGTGGGCTCAGACGGCCTCGGGACGGCAAATCACGAAGCCTGCAGCTAGGTTCGCTGCGGATACATAGTCGACAAAGAGAGTTTTCCAAGGCTCTTCCAATATTTTCAAATGGAAAGATACCATTGGAGTAACGTGGGGTACCGAATACAAGGCAAACAGAGTCGGCCGATTGAAAAATACCCGTATTCACCGATTGGGTCGAGAAGGGTCTAAGGCGTATTATATCGATCTCGGCTGCGATCTGATCGCCTCCTCCCTTGACAATCTCCGGTAGCCACCGGTCTATCTGGGTCAACGAGAGGGAAACCTTTGTTCGGTTCCGCAATTTCTCTTGCCAATCTCGCGTCCGTCTCCCCGATTTTCTGACGGCCGAGCCCGGACATCGGTATCATTGGGCAGCGATTTAATTAAAATCGCCAGCTGGAAAAATCTCGCTCGATTGAATCGTCGTTCGCGCGCCTATGCTGAACGACGTCTCTTTCTCTCTTCCCCATTCATTCTTTCCATCTCGTTCGCATCCGCCGCGAGAAACCACCGATTAAACTGCGATACAACCCGTGCGATCATAAATCGTTCATATCGGCCGTGAGGATCTCGCGTAAAATTCCTAAACCGGAGAAATTACACGGTGTCCGTTGGCAATACCCGCTCGATGGATTATGAAATGTCACATCTTAAACAGTCGAAATTTCTAGATGATTTTGATTCCTTCTCGTGGCATTCTTCGTGTTTTTTCGGTGTTTCGAAATGTACGTACGTTGACAAATGATTGTAATCGGAGAACGTGTCGTTGGAATGGGAATATTTCGTTTGAGAATATACAGAAGTTTAATCAAAGTTTCTAACTAACGTGGACATCGGCTAGGGAACGATTTAGAGAGACAGTGACCCATTTTTTCTCATTTCGTTACAAAATCTTCTCGTACTGTTGGACATGTCAGATGATTAGATAATTCACTTAGTCTTGGTCGATAAGCAGCTGGTATTTATGCAATTTCCAGCTTTTAAAAATAAATTCCTAAAGGTCGGCGTTGATTAGACATTTATTTTCTTTACGAGGGGTTTTAACGCGTTCGAAACGGTAGGAAGATTGCGAAACGTATTATTGTGACGTTCGTTGTAAAGGATTATAAAGTAATATACGGTTTTATTGTATTTTCCGCGGTAAAATGTATTAATCGGAAATCGTAAAACCGCGAACGCTCGCAGTCTCGCGAGATTCATTAAATAATCTCGTCAGCGAGCATGGGAGGTGGCATTAAAATGTCCACCGGCTCCTCCTAACCATCAATAATATTTTATGGGCGCGCGTATAGTAACACGCGTCGATGAACAGCCGGTGGAACTTTCGCCGGCCGCGTGCGCGCTAAATCATTCCTCGTTAAAAAACAATTTCCACTAAAATCGAAAAGCCCGATGGCTGAAATTTCGTCACACGCAGCNNTCGTTTTTTTTTTTGTTACACATTTTTCACACCCAATTCACGCATACTTTAACTCTAATCGCGACACGATCTCTTTACGCGGTTTTGAAACTGCCTCTGACCATATGTTCCTCTTGCACAATTGGATATCTTTTATATAATATATTAGATCGATTAAAGAGTCTAGTCATTGCTTTTGAATTATCTGTTCGTGTTAATGGGCTCAGACAAAGGCTATAGATATATTACGTCAAAGATAGTAGGAGATTTATTATGCGAAATGGATAATATATAGTTTGAAGAGTTTCAGAGCTCTTAATTGATCCTTTGTTTCGTCAAAATTTTATTTAATCTTCCTATGTTCTATTTTCAGAGTTAATCACATTATCGAATACGAATGACTTGTATAATAATTATGATCGCTATTTCAAATTATTCAAATT